GTGATTACTACTTAAATTCATTAATTTGATTAATTAATTTTTCTAAATTGTGTATTACATGATTATTTACAAAAAACATTTATTTATTATAGAAATTGATAATTACTATATCTGTGAGGACTTATTATCCCCACGATGATGTGATTAATTTAAATCTCTATGAAGATTTTTGAAATCTCACATAAGACTTAAATATATTATTAATTTGGGTTATAAAAAAGAAAGTTAAATTTAATGATGGGCCTTTTGAACCCATATTAACATACAAGTTTTACTCTCATATCTGCGAAACCTTATTGATTTACACGATACGAGATTATCCTAAATATCTGCAGAGATACAAGGTCTCACATGATAAAAAGATTAAATAATATTCGCTTTGAATATATTTTAATGCGTAATTATACAACGCATATTTTTAAACATACAAATCTTAATCGTTATACCTGCGAAGCCTTACTGAATCACATGGTAGTATGATTATCCTAAAGGTCTACGGAGTTTCAAAAATCTCACATGACCAAAAGATATAATGGGTAAATATAATTATAATTTAAATTCATTAATTTAATTAATTAAAATTATAAAAAATGTTTTTTATTTTATTTACAAAACTCATTTATTTATTTACCGTATAAATTGTGAATCACAATATCTGCGAGGATTTAATATCCCACACGATAATGTGATTAATTTAATTCTCTATGAAGATTCTTAAAATCTCACGTGAGATTTAAATATTTATTATATAAAAAAATTTAATAATGGGCCTTTAAAACTCATATAAATGCCTACAAGATTGATCCTCGTATCCACAAAATCTTATTGATTTCCACGATAAAGGATCATTTTGTGGGGATTTAAATTTTTTATTATGATAAAAAAAATTTTCTTATGATATGGGTTGTTCAAAAACACATTCATTATATAATCAAGATTTTTAGCTTAACAGAATCTAATTTGTAAAAGTATGTTTGAGTTTTAATTATAGGCGGCCAAAATCAAATCTATAGTGTGATATATCCATCACTGTACCTTATAACAAGCTATGCATACATTGAGATTAGAAAATGATATAATATAAGGCTGCATGAAGTTATGAAAAACTTGTATTAGAACCTGTGCAGAATGAAGTTGATGGATCTTTCTGCAAGTCCTTAAGCTCCTTCAAGATGTGCTTTGAAGCCATATCACTTCCTCCAACTGATGGACCGAATCAGAACCTGTGCATTGCTGGCAATCGAGCCCACGTAACTGAGGGAGAAGAAGAAGATAATCTCATTCAGTACCCACGTGCACATGCATGCTCTGTTTCTTCACATCAGAGTACTCCATCGCTGTCCTCTCACTACCTCACTCTCCCTCTTTTATGCTTTGTTTCTATTCTCCTCTCTCCTTTCTAGTTTCGTTCCATCTCTCTCTTTTCTTCCTTGGACTCGCCTCTCCCTCGCGTTTTTGCTGTCTCTTTTTTTTCTTTCGTCTCTCCTCTATTTTTTTTCTCGTGCTCTTTTCTTCCTCCTCTTCTCGGTGCTCTGCTTCTTGTTTTTGGCTCTCTTTTTTCAGTTTTGAATAAGTGCTCCCTCCTTTTCTCTCCTCTCTTCCTCTCCTTTTCTACTGTCATCCAGGTTCTTTGCTCCTTCTTCATGCTCTGTTTTTCATTTTCTCATCCACGTGCTCTCTCTCTCCTTCAGTTTTTCTTCCCTTTGTCTCCTCTAGTTTTTTTTGGCCCAGCCCCTGTTTTTCTTTGGTTTTTCCTAGCCTCCTCTCTTCGGTTACCCAGCTTCTCCTTATATAGAGAATGGAAAAGGTGAATCATTACTCTCCTGCTCTGCTTCTTCTTCGTTTCTGCCTCTGTCTCTTCTCTTTTTTTTTTGTTCTGTTTCATCTCTATTTTTTCTAAGTTTCTGCCTCTATTTCTTCTCACTTTTTCTATGCTGTTCCATCTGCTTTCTCTGCTGTGCCGTCTCCTGCATGCGTGCGTGCGTCCTTGGTTCTGTTTCTTTTCTCTTGCTAGCCGAAAGCATATGTGTACGTGTTCCGGTTGCTTGCTATTTTTTTTCTGCTCTGTTTTGCTTCTTCTGCGCCCAGCCGAAAGTGTACGTGCGTGTTCTTTTTTTGCATGCGTCTCTGACTCCTTTTCTTTGCATGTGTGTGTGCTGTGTTTCTCCGCTCGTGTTTCTGTTTTCTGCATGTTTCTGTTATGTCTTCTCTGATATTGTCGTACGTTGCTGCTCTACTTCTTTCCTTCTTGTTCTTCGCTGGCTTCGTCTTCCTTTAACTCTGAGCACTAAATTTTGGAACCAATGGGTTAAGATTTAACCCATTGGTTTATATATATATATATTTTTTTTTTTGAAGAGAAAAAAATCTATAATCCTTTCTTCTCTCTCTCTTTTTTTTCTTTTAAAATCCTGTTTATTAATTTAAAAAAAAATTAGAAGAGAAAAAAAAAGACAAAAGAAATCTAATTTGGAATTAAGCAAGCATGTATTTTTTTTAGAAGATAACAAAATTTAAATGAAAAAATTCAAAAGAAGTTGATTCTCAAAAATTAGCTCCTAATATCTTGAATGGTTGGGATAATTTGAAGAGGGATTTTCTTTTTCAAGATTTAACCTTTCTTTTTTTTGATTTTGTTAAATTATCATTATTATTATTTTTTGAAAATATTATCTTAAAAAGGGATTAAATTTCAATTTTTGTATTTTTTGATTATTTATTAAATTTAATAAAATGCCCCGACAAAATACGGTGTTCACACCATGTATAACAGCTCAACAAAAAAATTACCCACGTACAGTAGCTCAAAAAATATGGCAAATAGGGAAGGAGAAGGAGAAGAAGTAGAAGCAGAAGCAGAAGAAGAAGAAGAACCAAAAGAAGACCACGAAGAAGAGAAGAAGAGGAGAAGAAAAAGATGATGAAACAGAGGCAAGAATGTGTGCTAGTTATTTTGCATTGAGGCTTGAGATTTTTATTTTATTTAATGGTAATTTGATCATTTCCTTTAATTTTCTAATGACAGAAAATTTTTTTGAGACTTTAGAAAAATTATGCCCTTTTGTGAGATTAATATGTCATTTAAATAATTTAAATGAATTATTTTATATTTTTTTTAATAATGATGATTGAGATGGTCAATAAATTAAATATAATTAAAATATGCCCGACTGTCTCATTGCACTAATGCCATGTAGGAAAACATTTTATCTAACATTCAGTCATTCACTTGTCATTCAATGTCCATGGGAATAACATATAGTCGCACTGTCACGCACAGGGCGAACAACTCCTTAACTACTGGCTAATGGTACCTGACAGTTAAAGTCAAACACGGAAGACATTACGCAGATGAGAGCAAAATGAGGATCGTAGGAGTTGGAACTTTGCTCTCAAAAGGGTTCCAATGTAATCGCGGGAGAATTTTATTTAATGATCATGGCTATGATTTATTCACAAATCAAATTCAATAAAATTTAGAATTACACGGTAAGACTAAAGGATTAAACTGAAATAATTTTTTTAAAAAAATAAACAAAATATCCTTCAATTAGACTTAATTGTACAACTTTATTTGTTAATTATTTAATTTTACTTATTAAATTTGTGACTCTTTCAGTTGAATTATATCATTTGTTAATTGTAGTTACTTTACTTGTTAATTCACTGATAAAATTTATTAATTATTTAATTTCACTTATCAAATCCATCATTTTCTCAATTAAACTGTATTATTTATTAATTGTGTAATTTTATTTGTTAATTTTATAATTTTACTTATTAATAATATATAAAAAAATTAAAGATGTTTTGATCATTTTCTATAAAAAAAATAAATTGAAAATTTTATTCAATCTGATGCGTAAATAAGTCCCATTCTTAATTCTTAAATGAAATTCCCCTTATAAGCAACACATCTTTTTACAAATATAATTAACTATGCTATATTTCTTTTGGATTGGAGGGATTTCAAGTTTGAATGGCTCAAATTCATCATCATCATCATTATTATTATTATTATTAAATAACAAATAACTTAATAAGTGTAAGCTTTTAAACTTTACAAATATAATTTAATATTATTCTTATAAATAAATTTATTATTTAATATTATAATAATAATAATTTTATAATCCAATGAATTGAAATTTTTGGCCAGACAGCAATGAAGTTCAATTAAGATTTAAGGGTGGTGAAGTTGGGAGAAGGGGAGGAAAAGGGATTAGTAAGAGGAGGGAACTCAATCCCAAATTGGAGCTAGCGAGAAATAAGGGTCGGGATTAAAGGATCGAACTTGAAGGAACCTGAAGGTCTTGTTTAAATAAGAATTCAAACTTTAAAAATTAATTTTTTTTAATGTAATCGTATTTGAGAGCCTGACTTTGATAAGCCCTGTAAAAAAGGATTTGGGCTCGGGCTGCCCTTTAAACTCTGTTATATTATTATTAGTTTTTTTCTTTGATGGAACACGCGTTTGAAGTCAAGAAGGGCTCGTCTGAAATCCTAATCCTACATGTGTTATATTATTATTAATTTTAATTTATTCTAAAAGTGATTTAATATGATTTAATAAATATCAGTGTACAGTATAAAATTTATAAAATTTTTTATTTTTTGATAATTATTATGTTTGTGTATTTATAAAAAATAAACTTTTTTTAATCAAAGTTTAAATTTTCTTACTAGACTTCTTAATACATGTTGTTTAATTTCTAAAAAATTATGAAGATTTTTATTTATTTTTATTTTTAAAATATTTTAATTAATTTATAGTGCTTAATTAATTTATACGGCTTATGGGTCCGAACCTGCATTCTTTAAATAAGGATTGAGCTTCAGAATACACATCTGATCCTGAATCCTTCAAATAAAAATTAAGCTTTAAAAAAAATAAAAAATAAAAAAATCAGATAGGCCATAAATGCCGAGTCCAATTGGAACTGTTATGTTTCCTTTCCTTAGCTTGTCTTTTTTGTTTTGATGGCAAATGTTAACTACTTATGGTCCCGACTTTATGGGGTCTTCATGTCAACATTTTAATCCAAGATCATCTTCTTCCGTTACCGTCCATTTTCAGGTTTATTCTTCATCATCTCTATTTTTCGCTTTATTCTGCAATAGTTGGTCCCTTCAAATTCGATTTGAAGCAGCAAAATGAAAGAGGCGGTGGTTCTGTATCCCCTGATGCAGTGGGGACACCTGGTTCCCATGGTAGAGTTAAGCAAGCTCATACTATCTCTCCAACCTTCACTTGCGACCACCATCCTCCTTCCTTCACCACCCAACCCCTCCACCGCCGATTACATGGCCGCGGTCTCCGCCGCCATTGATCCTCACATCGTCTTCCAACAACTCCCTCCAGTGTCTCTACCTCCCTCTGCGCCTAACCATGAAACCCTCATGTTCGAGCTTCTTCGCCTCAACACCCCCAATCTCCACCAAGCTCTCGTTTCCATTTCCAAAACTCATGCCATCATCGCACTTATTGCAGATTTCTTTGCTTTGGAAGCTTTATCGGTTTCTTCTCAACTCAACATCCGTACCTTTTGCTTCTTCACCACCTGCGCCGGCAACCTCGCCTCGTTCCTCTACCTCCCTACCCTCCACCGGACCACCGATAAGAGCCTCAAAGAAATCGATGCCCCTCTTAACATCCCCGGTCTTCCACCGATTACTGGCAGGGACATGCCTGAACCATTGCTTGAACGAAATGATTTTGCTTACGAAGGATTTCTGAAATGCTCTGTTCTTGCCCGCAAAACAGCTGGTATTATTGTCAACACATTTGAAGCCTTGGAACACAAGTGCCTCGGTGCAATTTACGATGGGTTTTGTGTATCGGATGGTCCAACACCGCCCATCTATCCGGTAGGTCCTTTGATTGATTATGATAAAGGAGAAGCATCAGAACACGAATGTTTGAGGTGGTTAGATTCACAGCCTGACAGAAGCGTCGTGTTCTTGTGTTTTGGGAGTTTGGGGTTGTTTTGTGGAGAGCAATTACATGAAATAGCTTGTGGATTAGAGAGGAGTGGCCAAAGATTCTTGTGGGTAGTGCGGAATCCACCGTCGGAGAAAACCCAGAATATCGCCTTATCGTCGCAGGTGGATCCAGATCTGGATTTCTTGCTGCCGGAAGGTTTTATGGATCGGACCAGGGAAAGAGGGATGGTAGTGAAGAAGTGGGCCCCACAGGTTGAGGTTTTGAATCACAGGTCGGTGGGTGGGTTCGTGACCCATTGCGGGTGGAACTCAGTGTTGGAGGCGGTGCTCGCTGCCGTCCCGATGGTGGCGTGGCCTTTGTACGCGGAGCAGAGGTTCAATAGGGTGGTTATGGTGGAGGAAATGAAGATTGCCTTGTGGATGCGCAAGTCGTTGTCGTCGGAAGGTCGGTTGGTTGAGGCGGGGGAGGTGGCAGAGCGAGTCACTGAGTTGATGGAATCGGAGAGAGGTGAGTCGGTGAGGAAGCGAGTTGAGGCTGCGAGGGGTGAAGCAGAAGCTGCGTTGAGGCAAGGAGGGACTTCTCGTGTTGCATTGGCCAGACTCACCGATTCTTGGAGGGGCGCTTAGATAGTGACTGGTATATCGATCATGCTTAATTATTTATATTAGAGATAAAATTAATGTCGTAAAATTCGACTTATTTTTAGTGTTATTTGAATCCTAATTCGATAATCATATTTAATATAGATATTAAATATTTATATCATTTAAATTATTACTTAAACAATCCAGATGCTGAATCCTTATAAATACAGTTATTGAATTTAAGTTCTTGTTATTTGGTTTGCTTTTCAATTGATCAGCTTTGATTTTAACTAGGTGGCAAAAAAGGGTTGGACCAAGTAGAGAAGACTTTTCTAGTGTTAGACTTTCTTTGGTTACGTGTCATATCAATCAAAATAAAAGAAATCATGGATTATTTTGTAGTTTTTTTTAATAAAAAATATAGGGAGAATCATATCAATGTATTTCCTAACAAAATTATTGGCATATTAATTAGAACGAACAAGTAGTCCCCAAAAAAGAAGAAGTTATTATTATCATTTTAATAACAACAGATTTTGTATTTATTGTTGTCTGCAAGTAATTTTTTTAAAAGATAATGTTAAAATATTAATTTATCCCTCAAGTTTTTTATTTTCAAGTGCATTAGGTATTCTTAAGTTAATCGTGATACAATATTGTCTTTCATGTATTAAAAATGAATTGCTGTTAATATTCATTAATTTAATTATTAATTGATTAAAAAATTAAAACAATGATCTAGCATACTACAGAAAAAAACTCATTATAGGAAAGGGTCTTATAAAAAAAATTAGTATTATTTAAGTTTCTTAAATTACAAATAAATTCTAATAGATTAATATTTTTTATTACCCCTGTAAAAGATGAAAACACCAATTTGACCCACCACTTTGACATGCTACTGGCTAATTATCATATCACATATCCTGGAAATATCAATAAATAACTAAAAATATTATAATTATTTAATATTTAATAATTTAAATATTATTACTATTTATAGCATAAAAATCTAAACACATTCAAGCGTGTTTACTGCTAATGGTTGTACATTAACACTCAGGTGCTATGCATAGGGAGCATGCACTTAACAAAACATAAAATAAAGTACTCAATGATATTTAGTGTAATTGCTATCGCTAAAAAGCAATTTCATTACACAAACAATGTCATAGTCAAATAACAACATATATACCCTTCATAAAGCTAGACTTCAAAACAATGGAAGAAACGTTTTTAATTTGTAGTTGAACTCCTCATACCAAAAAAAAAAAAAAACAGAGGAAGAAGAAGAAGAAGAAAAATTACTATTATAAAAAAAAGGTTTTGCTGAATAATACTCTTATTGAACCCATCAGGTTTTGGAACAAAGACAAATATCTAATACAAAGAGGGGCACAATGTATTCATAGCCCAGAATAAACATGAAACAAACCTCCTGATGCCTAATAAACAAACCCAAACAATAAACTAATATCCAGAGATATTATTCTGGAGAAACAATATTAATCAATATTTTCTACACTCCCCTCAAGTTAGAATGAAAAATATTTATGGGTCCTAATTTGGTTAACATTCTCTCATGACCAGATTTACCTAAAGGTTTAGTAAAAATATCTGCTTATTGATATGAAGAAGCCACATGGTGTAATTTAATTAACCCTTCTTGAAGTTTCTCACAAACAAAATGGTAGTTAATTTCAACATACTTTGTTCGTTCATGAAATAATGGATTCGAAGCCATTTGAATTAATGCTTTGTTGTCACAATGTATTAGAACAGGAAGAAGATTCTCAACCTTCAGGTCTTTTAACAAACCAACCAGCCATGTAATCTTTGATACAGCACTTCCAAAAGCCTTGTATTCAGTTTTTGTTGAAGAACGTGAAATTGTTGTTTGCTTCTTTAACTTCCACACAATGGGTGCTCCTCCCATTTTAATGACATACTAAAGAGACACATCATTTATACACTTTATTCACTCATTTAGAACTCATTTTACATGTTGCTTAAGGGGAAAAGTTGTGCACTAGGGGTATTTTGATTCAAAAATTAAACTTTAAGAAAATGTACAAGAAAATTAGTACAAATGTGTTTGATGCTCAGAAAAATGAATATGAAATTATATTTTGAAAATTCAATGTGGTTTGGGAGATATTAATTAAAAATCACAAAATTAAGGTTGTTGACTTTGTTAATCTAATTAGGGTTTTGTACATGTGTGTGCATACATGGTTTCACGTGAGTCAGCCCTTGGATTGCATTTTATTATTTATCTCCCATCTAAATAATTACGTTCATATTTCTAAATATGAATTATTATGTCACATGGATTTATTTAATTAATTTTGTTCATTATGTGACATAGGTAACACATGTGCACTTGGACTTGTATCAATTGGTCAAGGAAGTGCAAGAGGGGCATTTTGGGCATAAGTTGTAACATCCTGATTTTTATATAATAAAGAAATTATGGAATTTAGATTTTGAGGAAAAAAAATGATAATAATAGGAATTTATATTATTTGAGGTTATTTAGAAATAATATTATGGTTAGGTATTTAATTATAAATTTAAAAATTTAAATTTAAAATCACATAAGCAATATTTAGTTAAGATATAATACATAAATAATTTTTTATTGTGTGTAAAAAAAAAGAGAAGGTAGAAGGAACAAAAAAAAGGGGTGGAAGGTTGTTGTTTCTAAGTTCCACATTGGTTAGATGAGGGAAGAGAAGAGGTGCCTTCATGTATAAAAAGGAGGGGGTGTGTGCATTAGGAAGCATGAGAGGCTAAGATGCAATTTAGAGAAAATTGCAACTTTTGACCCAAAGGTTTGAATAATTAAATTCGAACCTATAGTTTTTTTTAATATAATTTTGGGACCACAATTCCATTTTTATATTATTTTTCTCTCTTTCTCTCACGTTGCTCGGCGTTTTTCTCGCGAGGGGGGATTATTTTCTTTTTCTTCAGGTATGTTCTAAATTTCCTATTTAGATTAGCATTTAAAAATTTATTGAATTATAAAATTAATTTTATAGTTATTTTCTAAATAATATTAGCTTTCTAGTGATATGATTATTTTATAGGATAGAGTAAATATTCTGATTAGGATTTTTTTTCTATAGGATAGTTAATCTGATGATATGATGGATTAAAAATATAGGTTAAAACTCTTAGGGATATAATAAATATTATAGAATACTTTCTTGAGGTTGAAACTCATGTTTAAGAATTTTTGAGTTAAAATCTAGATCTATATGGTTGAATTTATGTGAAATCTGAGATGTAGGGATGAACTTCTGATTATTAAATATTTATTTAAGTATGAATAGGTATTTTTGAGGTTATAGAAAGGTGATTTGAGGCTTCAGGATAATTTTAAAATTTTTAATTTATTTTTGGATGAATTTTTAGAATATAGAAGGATGAAATTGTAATACTAGAAGCGATTTGAGGATAAAAAAAAAATAGTTTATTAGGGTACGAGAATTTAAAAAAAAAGAATTTGGAAAGTTAAATGAGGCATAAATCTTAAATTAGTGTTAATATGGATTATAGATCTAAGACTTTCTAACTCTTTAAATTAGAGTTATTTATTTTAATGTAAAATTAATATATAATATTATGAAATAACTATGTAGATTGTGTTGACAAAGATAGTGGTGAAAGAGGAGTTGTGAAGGGGAACTTGTTATTCAAGACACAAGGTAACCATTATTAATGTGTTGTGATAAGTGTGTTTGTGAATGGTTATGTGTTGTTTTGTTGTTTGAAAAAATTATGAATTATTAAAAATAAATACTGTATATACTTGTTTGAAATTATTGCCAAGTGGGTTAAAAATTTATTTTTGTTTATCATGATGAGATATTATTGTTCGAATATATTCCTGTTTGGATATTTGAATGATGCATGACTTGTCAGGGTATTTTAATGTATGGTGTTAATGGGAATTTCTGTTCGGTTAATTATTACCACGTGGTAAGCCCTCATTGGACCCAATGAGTGGCGTGTCGCTTGGTCCAACTCACCTTTGGCCGGGTGATTTGGTGTCCGAGCATGGCAAAAGGAGGATATAAGGTGCAGTCATGCAAATTAAATACTTGTTCGTTTGTTTGAAAATATTGTTCGGTTAAATGTTTTGTGTGCCCACTTAGCAATCGCATGATTAGTTACAATCGCATGCATCATTACATATTAATTTTTGGTTACTGGGACTTTTAAGTCTCATTCCCCGTGGTTAATATTTTTACAGGAGCGAGTCCGGCCGAGAAAGCACCAGAGGTGTAACTATGGTGTATGAAATACCATCTTTTACGTTGCCTCTTATTTTGGATTATACAATGTATCTTGTGCTAACTTAAGACATATCTTCTTTGTGAAGCATGTAAACTCTAATCCTTTTTATTAAAAGTATTTATTTGACCAAGAGGATTATGTTTGTCTCTCTTGATTCATGACCTAATTTAAATATCATGCCATGAGGATCTTGACTGTTCCTCATGGTTCTAATTGCTTTTTTTGAGATATTTTAAGACCTGTGGTATATTGTTTTGGATGTATCATGGTAAGAAAATTTTCTACCATGATAATGGTTTTAATAATTTGCGAAAAATCGGTTTGTATTTTTGAGGGTGTTACATAAGTGGCATGCTAAATGGCTTATGGATGGGGTTGATCAGATTTTCTAAATGCAAAGCATGAGAATATTCATATGAGCATAGGAATTATCACCCAACTAATGAAAAGGAGCCACCTAAGGGCATGTGTGTTAAGTGCGAAGCTTTCCCTTTGATTTTAATTTGTTTTTTAATTAATTTTTGAGCCAAATCTGATGCAAAACATGTCCTTCTCAGCTCCTCTCATTGGAATTCAAATTCAACGCTCAATTCATTCACCACATTTTACTCTCTGTCATCCTTTTTCTCCAATTCATCTTGTTTTTCATTTTCTCTCTATTGTTTTTCATTTTTCAGCACCCTAACCTTTATTTACAACCGTCAAACCTCCACAAAACCTACACCATTCTTCATCCCTCATCTAGCTCGTCCCTTCCCTTCCATTTTTACAAGAATCCAAGCTCAATTTTTTCATCCAAGTGGCTATGGAGTTCAGCCTTCATAAGCTTCTTCAAGGTTTCATGGAGATGAGGATGATTGGCTAAAGTTCTTAGTGAAATCCTAGAGAGATGAAGATGGAGGATGAATCCAGAGCTTCACTTGGCTAAGTTTCTTTTGTTTTCTATTCTCTAATCTTATTACTTGATGTTTGGATGTTTTCATCTAAAGTTTGATCATCATGGCTTGTAAATTCTAATGTGAATTTGATCTTGATGTAAAAAGAAGAGGATTGCGTTGTTAAATTCTTTCTTTGGCTGCCATGGTAATTTAAGCCTCTATATGTTAGATGTAATATCTCCCTTACTTAACCACACTTAACTCCATAAATATGGTAATCAAGGGATTAACTCTCAAAGAATTACCAAAGTTGTAAAATTACATAAAAGAGAAGAATTTTCAAATCATTTACAATGGGATCCCAAAGATCAATTTCAATCTCTATTACACACTTAAAATGTTCAAATCAGAGTTTAAAAATAATGTGAAAGCTTAAAAATAAAATAGGATCCAAAACAAAGAGTTTTAAAACTCGCAATTGTGTTTTGTACAAAAAATGACCCATGCCCCACAGCTCACACGCCTTTGTGCCATGCGCCGCAACGCATTGCACGAATTTGACAGCAACAACTGCCATTATTTGACAACAGTGGGAGTGAACTTTTGAACCTTTCCAAAACTCCGTCCAACGTCTAATTAAGGTGATTTTGGTGTCTACATGAAGCTTTTTCTTAGCTTTAGCTAATGATACTAGTTTCACACTCAAATTTATTTTTGTACAAAAAAGTTGGACACCAAAACCTAGTTTTGCTACTTTTTCACTAAAATTTCACAACCATGATGTTCCAACTCAATCCCAAAGTGCCAAAAGCCTACACTGACCATCCAATCACACTCAATGGACTCTAGTGGACCCATGCAACAGACCATACACAACCAAAAACACATATTCCTCAAAATCACCACTCAAACCCAATTTCATTAAACATAAAGGGGAGAAAAATCATACACAAAACTATCATTTTCATTTCAATTCTTTCAAAATACACATGTTTCTACTTACACAAGTATTTTAGCCCTATCAATAGGTTTACAACCAAAACTCACTAACCGAGGATATAAAATATGCAAGTTGTACACTATAGTAATACAAGTAGTGCAAAAATAACATGTAACTCTTGGTTGGCAATTGTATTAACATTCATACACATAAAACAACAAAGAAAGGCATACAAAAGGATTACTCTACAAATCCTAAGCCTCTATGTGCTTTCCCCGACTTGAATCTGATGAGCTAGATCATAAAAATATTGAAAATTGAGAGGTGAGTACAACCACTCAATAACTAAGTTTCACCTAATCTATATAGTTACAACAATTGTAAACATACGTAAATAGGCAAGAATACACAATTACTGCACATATGATGGACTTGGCCATGGTTCACAATACTAACAAATATGTGACCAGGCCCAAGGCATGTATACATATCCACACAATATCAATGCACATTGTGGAGTCGCAATAATACCAACCATGCGCCCCTAACACATACCGGACCATAATACTAACAACCATGTGGTTGGATTTATATGCATGATCGAATGCTAGCCTTATACCCTTCTATTACCTCCAATATGAAACTAGTGGCTATCACATGGCTATGTCCTTTATGGACTAACCCATCCTTCTACTTGTGAGGAGCTACCAGGCTAGGGTTAACTCACTCACTTATATAATCTGATTTCCCCTAACACTAACAACCATGGGGTTTCGTACCCCTAATTTAGCCTCCTCATGAACCAGTAGAGACTAGTTAGGTTCAAGTCCCTCTTAGAACAAGTGGGACATGTAACATCATCCTTAACATTCCAAACACACAGAGCACCAATTACAGAACACTGTTATGATAATTGAGATTAGTTTAATCCCAAGACAAAATAGTCATCATAACACAAGGGTTAGAAAATGTTTGAGAAAATAGGATCCTAAGAAAAAACCCTTTTAAAAAATCGTGTGAGCTCAAATTATAGTTTAAAACAACTTAAATAAGCCAATTGAAGCATAAGAAATTCATTAGGCTACAATATATAAAACAAAATATTCCAGCCATAAAAGCACAGTGTGCTATGATGCAATACATCACTTGCCACGATGGATTGCACAGAGGGGAATGTCCCCTCTTTGTGCCTCGTGTAGCGGTGAGCGACTATTATCATGACAGCAAACTACTATCATAATAACTCTTCGGCCAACTTTTGAAGCACACCATTTCACCATTCAACATCCGATTCAAGTGATTAGAGCATCCACACGTAGCTCTTAGAACCACTTAGCTATTGGCACCAATCCCACACCCAAACACTTAGTTAAATGAGATTTGGACACCTGAACCCAAAATGGCTCATTTTCTTTCAAAAACACTACCAAGGTGCTTAAACTCCTAAACCAAAAATGCCAATAACCATAGAATCTGTAACATTCAAAAACTTTAAATTCAGAAAAATTGACTAATTAATGGATAAATTAGTTAAAAATATGATTAATTAATTTAAATATATTTTTGGGTTGCTAATTGGATTTTTGGATCGTATTTAGCTCTAAATTAAGTTAAGATGGAAGTCAGATCAAGTCGGGAGGCATCGAGGGGAGCAAAATCAACTTATTGGTTGTTGCGTCGTGAGCCGCGGCTTGTGTGGCATGTGTTGCGGCACATGGCATAGCAGGCAACTTAAAATTTTGAAAATGATTAGATAATAACAATTTTTTGTGGTGGAAAATCTAGAAAACAAAGGGGCAAGTTTTAGGTACTGTTAGGGCATCATTTTAGGAAGATTTTGAAGATAAATTGAGCCTTCAAACTCTTGAGTAAGTTTCCATCCTTTCTCCTCTACCTTTTCATCTCATTTTCCATAGAATTTGAAAGAGTAAGAATTTGCTCTGATTAGATTAAGCCATGAGTCTATGTTTTGAAGGTTTCTATTGACTCTAAAGGTTTGATTTAGGTTTATTAATCTTGAATATGTGGTAATATGAAGCTACTTTATTGTTTGGTCAAATTTAGATTAAGCCCTAAATTGATCATGGGGTTTTGAAGTGTGATAAGTTGAGATATTAAGTGTTATGTTGTGATAGAGTTAGAGGGAGGCTTAAAGGGATTGTGTGAACAAATTGTAATCTTAACAAGCCTCTTTGTTGAGAATATAAGTGAGAAGTGGGAGAATTGGGAGGTTATTAGTAGTTAATAGTGCTTGTATTAATTGAAAATTAACATAGAGTATTTGTTGATGTAGATTGTGGTGTGGGAAGACTTATTTTGACACAAGAAGAGATTTAGTACCATGGGTAACCCTTTTAGTGACAAAAGAGTTGAGGTAACTAGATAATTTACATTATTTATTACTTTGTATAAGTTATTCTCAAGTTGTTCTTGCATGATTTATCATGTATATATGTATGAATTTTGTAAAAGTTAACTATTTTAAAAAATAAGTGGAGTATTGAGTTGTAAAATGTCAAGTTTTTGAAGTAAGTAGTAATATTCATTATATTGGTTTAGAAAGTGGTTTATGCATGGTCAAGTGGAGATATGTAGTGAAATGTGGCATGTTAGAGGGTGGGAGGTCACCCTAGTAGAGTTAGTGAAAATTAAGTCCATATGGCAAAGCTGGTATCTCGAGATGCTAGGTGCAGCACTTACTCTCCTCAGTGCCCCAAAATGGGTGCGGTGTTGGAGACTTACTCTCCTTAGTACCCAAAAGGGTGCAGAGTTGGAGATTATGCTCCTTATCATCCATAGGATATGGTGTTGGAGTAATGACACCCCAATTACTTTTAATAGGGAGAACCAGTAGTCCAAAAGTGGTTTAGGACACCTTGGCCGGGTAGTCGTACCATGGATGGTGAGCTTGAGGACCATACATGTGGTTTGGTTTTGTGAAATAGCCTACTAGTTCGGTCAGGAGTATTGGAGGATCGGATGGTTAGGGATCATGCATGTAACTTGTGGTGATTTTATATGTTGTACTTATTTTACTTGACTTAAGGCTTGTCTATAACTTGACATATTAATCAATAATGTAGATTATCTTAGTTACTGAGATTTTTATCTCACCCCGTGGTTATCATTTTACAAGTTCTACCACTGAGATTGAGCCAAGGAAGTAATCGAGGAAGGGCTAGCATACTAGCTATAATCTCATTGTAAAGCTTAATTTTATTTTGAGTTGTGTACATAAACTTCTATAGATGAGATTATATGTTGCCAACTAGGAATGCATATCATTTTGATTGGTTGCACTTGTTTCACACT